AGAGGGGAAAAAAATAAAAATAAAAAAAGGAAAAAAACATAAAAATGAAAAGAAAACACAACAAAAGAAATGAAACCAGAAAGACGGTTGTCCTTCTCGCCGAAAAGACGGAGAAAAGACAACTAATATCCACCAAGGGAATGAAGGAAGGGAGGGAGGGAGGGAGAGGGGGGAGGGGAGAGAGGACGAGGAGAGAGGGGTTAGGGAGAGAGGGAGAGAGGAGGGAGGGAGAGAGGGGAGGAGGGAGAGAAGGGAGGGAAGGAGGGAGGAGAGAAGGAGAGAGGAGGGAGGGAAAGAGGAGAGAAAGAAAGGAAAGGAAGGGAAAGGAGGGAGGGGAGAGAGGACGAACAGAAAAGGGTTAAGGAGAGAAGAAAGCGCGGAGAGAGAGGAGACAGAGAGGGGACGAGAGGGGAGAGGGGAGAGGGAGAGAGGGAGGGAGAGGACGAGGAGCGAGTGTGCTTGCATCAAACACTGCTGGTGTAAGTCGCATGGAATTTGTCCCTCCCACGCCGGCCGCCGCGAGGTCATGCCTGCTTGGGCTAAATTGATGCCGCCGCTCCTGCTGGTGGAGCTCTGGCGCGGCCGCGGCTGCTGGCGGCGGGGAGGGGGGGGATGGTGGGGGTGTTGTTGGTGGAGAGGGGGGTGGTGTGTGAAAGGGGGGGGGATGGTGGGGTGTTGGTGGTGGAGAGGGGGGTGGTGTTGAAAGGGGGGGGGGATGGTGGTGTTGGGGACGGGGGTGTTAGGGAGGGGGTGGTGGGGGTGTTGATGTTGGAGATGGTGGTGTTGGAGAGCGTACTATTGATGTTGCAGATGAAAGTGATCGTGGAGTTGATGTTGCCGTAGTTGCTGATGTTGGAGATGGTGGTGACGGTGGTGATGGTGTTGCTATGTTGATGTTGCCTCCTTAGGGTGGTGGTCATGATGGTGTTAGTCCTACTTCTGCTGGCGGTGGTGTTGTTGTTGGTACTAGTCGTATTAACAATGGTGTTGCAACATATCCTAAATGTTGCAGATGGTGGCGATAGTGATAATGGCGATATTGGTGTTGCTACATATTGATGTTGCATATGCTGTTGACGGTAATGGCGCTATTGTTATTATATCATGTACAAAATACAGTGTTTCTCGTGGCATTAATGATAATAGTCATAACACCAACATTAAAAAAAAAATGTGATACCTATCTAAATCATCTTTACAAATTTTCTAATAATGAACTAACAATGACGATAATTATCATGCTTACTTTGACCTTAATGATATCTTAATTGCGTTTATGATAACAGCGGTGCCTTGATAATATCTGCAATAATGCATTCTCTAATGATAATAAAAGCTTATATAGTGACAGACTGTGCTTAAGGCTGCCAGAAAGCATAATAGTGTAAAGATTAGATAACGCTGGGGAAGAAAGGGGAGGCGAAGGGAGGGGGTGGAGGGGAGGGGAAGGGGGGAGGAGAGGGGAGGCGAAGGGAGGAGAGGGGAAAGGGGGGGGAGGAGAAGAGGGGAAGGATTGTTTTGAGGAAGGATAGGGAGGGAGGGAAGGGGGAGAGGGAGAGACGGAGGGAGGGAGAGAGACGGAAGGAGGGAGAGAGAGTGAGTGAGAGAGAGAGAGAGAGAGGAGGAAAAGGAGAAGTAGAAGGGGAAGCAGGAGGAATAGGAAGACGGGGGGATGAGCAAGTAGGAGGAAGAAAGAGAAAAGAAAGATAAAGAAGCATAAAAAAAAAACAGACAAAGGCAGAAGGAGAAGGAGAGGGAGAGAGAGGGGGAGGGAGGGAGAGAGAGTGGGGAAGGGGGGAGTAAATACAACTCCCTAAGTAAAACATCACAGGACACACCGCCTTGTTTGCATCTGGCAGGAAGGAGGAGGAGGAAGGGAGGAGGGGGAGGAGGGGAAGAAAAGAGGAAGGAGAGAGCGAGAGCGAGAGAGAGAGTGAGAGAGAGAGAGAGAGAGAGAGAGAGAGAGAGAGAGAGAGAGAGAGAGAGAGAGAGAGAGAGAGAGAGAGAGAGAGAGAGAGAGAGAGACAGAGAGAGAGACAGAGAAACAGAGAACGAGAGAGACAGACACAAAAAACAAAACAAAAAAAAAACAGACAAACAACCAGAGACAAACAGAAATGAAACCAAAACCACAAAAAAGATAAATAAAAACGAGTTAGTAAACGACTGACAACACACCGACAAGTATCCTTCCTTCCCTTGTATATAACTGTATCTCTCTAAGTCAACTTCCACTCAGCTCATCGAATTGCTTTTACTTTATCGTAATGAACTTGATCAAACTACAGGTAAAGTTGTTAAGGTGACTTTGCGTGTTTAATCACCCTATAATGACCCATAATTGCGACAAAGTTGTTTCTTGTTGACTATGGCCTAAAGAATTACATCATTTCATTCGTGGAAACTTTCTTTTTTTCTTTTTTTTTAATCTGTCGATTCGTTTTAGGTTTATATTTGAATGTTTTTTTTTTGTGTGTGTCTGTTTGGTTCTTAGTTTTTATCTCTTTCTCTCTCTCTCTCTCTCTCTCTCTCTCTCTCTCTCTCTCTCTCTCTCTCTCATTATCTATTTATCAAACTATCATCTATATCTACCAACCTATCTATCTATCTATCTACCTATCTATCTATCTATCTACCCATCTATCTATCTATTTATCTATCTATCTATCTATCTATCTATCTATCTATCTACCCTACATCATCTTCAATTTCTCTTCATATTCCGACAATTTCCAACCAACGTCTTTCTCTCCCCCAAAGCGCTTATTTCATCCTCCCTCTCTCATCTCTTCTTTATCAATTTCCTCTTTCCCCCTTTTCCATTTCCTCGACTTATTCCCTATCCTCCGCCTTTTTAATCTCTGTCATTAGGTCATAATACTCCTCCTCCCCCCCCCTTCCCCCCTCCTCCCCCTCTTCCTCCTTCCTCCCCCTCCCCCCCACACTAAATCTTCACTCAGCTGATCAAAAACTGAAATTAGGATTTTTTTTTTTTCTTCCTGTTGTTGTTTTTTTTTTTTTTTTTTTTTTTTCTTACATTCAGTTCTCCTTTTTTCTCTGTGTATTCACTTTTATTTCCTTCTACGTAATCTCTCCTTATTTTTCCTGTTTTTCTTTTTGTTGTTGTTGTTGTCCTTGTTCGTGTTCTCTGTTTATTCACTTATTCCCTTCTACGTAATCTCCTTCTTTTTCTTGTTTTTTTCTTTTTGTTGTTGTTGTTGTTGTTGTTGTTCTCCTTCTTGTAACATGAGAAGAAGAAGAAGAAGAAACAGAATGCTCATAATGGAAATAACGATGAAGGTAAAGAGAAAGAGAGAGAAAAAAAGATAAAAGATAAAAATACAGATAACAACAACAACAAAAACAAACAAACTAATAAATAAATAAAATAAAATAAAACCAAAACATACCTTTCCTCCTCTCCCTCTCTCTCCCTCCGCCTCCTATTATCATTATTATCCCTCTCTCCCTCTCTCTCTCTCCCTTCCCCTCTCTTTCTCTCCCCTTGCTATCTCCATCTTTCATCACGCTTTCCTCTGGTCTGCCTTTATCCCTAATACGGTACTGTATTATCTTCCAAACTGATAATAAGAAACACTAATGAAGGTCTTAATTGAGAACTTACCCTAATTACGTAAAAAGGGGGGCGGGGGGGGGGGCGAGGGTGGTTATTACGAACGGGGAGATGAGGTATTTTCCGATAATTACGCTAAAATAATAATAATAATATTTTGATCTTGACATTTTTGTGTGTTCCGTTTAATGTCGCTTTTTTCAATCATGAAAGTAACGCAATTTTTTTTTTTTCATTGTGTATATTGATCTGTCTATTTATCTATCTATTTATCTATCTATCTATCGGTTTTGTTATTTCAGTTTCTTAGTCACAAAGAAACTTTTTTACGTGTATCTTTTATCTTTGTATTTATCGGTCTATCTATCTATCTATCTATCTGTCTATCTATCTATCTGTCTATCTATCTATCTATCTGTCTATCTGTCTATCTGTCTATCTATCTATCTATCTATCTATCTTTCTTTCTATCTATCGATCTATATAACTATATATCTTTCTGTCTTTCTATCTATCTATATATCTTTCTATCTATCTATCTATCTACTTATCTATCTATCTATCTATCTATCGATCGATCTATATAACTATACATCTATCAAAATGGTAAAAAAATAATATAGAAAAGAAAAAAGAGAAAAAAAACGAGTAAGCGGAAGAAGGAAAAAAGACAAAAAAAAAAAAAGAAAGACAGAAAGAAGGAGAAAGAAGAAGAGAGAGAGGAAGAAAAATCCATTCTTCAGGCCTTTTAAATTCTCAGAAACGCGTGAAATATTTAACGCCATTGAGAGGAGGAAGGAAGGGAAAAAAAATAAAAAGGACCTTTTCTTTCATTTAACATTTTCATCTCTTAAGAAAAAAAAAAAATCTCTCCCTTCATCTAAATATCTCATTTCAATTTAACTACAATCTTTGTACTCATTTATCTATTATATTTCTTTATGTATCTCATTTTTTTGTCAAAATTAAATAACTTTAGGTTCGTTCTCTCTTAGGAAGAAAATGATCAGGTTTGAGGGTTTGTTTTGGCGGGAAAGAAAACGCAAGTTCTTTTTGAAATGGAACTTGATTGCGATCTATTTTTATGTTTATTTGTTTATCTTTTTTATCTTATCTATGTTTTTTATGTGTTCTCTCTTTCGTTTTATGGTTATTATTTTCTACTCTTATCATTCTTTCTTCTTCTCTCTCTGTCTCTCTCTCTGTCTCGCTCTCTCTTTCTCTTTCTCTCTCTCTCTCTCTCTCTCTCTCTCTCTCTCTCTCTCTCTCTCTCTCTCTCTCTCTCTCTCTCTCTCTCTCTCTCTCTCTCTCTCTCTTTATCTATCTATCTATCTATCTTTCTCTCTTTCTCTCTATCTCTCTTTTTTCTCTCCCTCCCGCCTTGTTTGTATGTACGCATATGTACGTGCGTGTATATAAATCTCTG